CGCTTTGGGACTGCTAAAGTAGCGTATTTTATGATTAAATTTTGGAACAGTTGAACATTACCAGACTAAAATCTCACGTCAGAGTCTTCCATCTGAAGAGTGGGAACGAGCAAGCGACGTTGCACTGGCGAGGTGATAAAAATTCACGGCGAAGAAAAGCTGGGCACATGTCCCGCCCTTGCACTCGTCCGCTTTGGACGAGTTGCTTGGGCGACCGAATATGGTTGGACTACGGTACCTGAGAGGCCTTTAATTCTTTTTAGCAGTCGTTGCATGAGCCTTCGTTTCAATAATTGCTTGCTAGGGATTAGAGCAGCTTACATTTTCAGTTTTGTTTAGTCACAGGCAGTCGTAAGGCTTTGAAGTGTCTTGCGATGCCGTATTGACTTTCTTGGAGGGCTTCACGCGCTTTTTCAATAGAATCCGAAGAAGTAGGTTTTCTCCCTGGGGTTTTTTTTTTCGTTTTACTTGGTCATTACAGTGTTCATTTGATGGGTTATTCTCCAGGGTGGTTACCTTCTTTCTCTTGCTTTCTCAACTCATATTGAATTCCTCATGCGTGTATTCCACCCATCTCATTTTTTCATCTTCCTTCTTCTGGCGATTATCGAATGAGTTCTACTTCAGCTGCTGAACTCTTGGGTCGGAAATGTAGCCAAATTTGTAGTCATGGTCATGGGCTACATGTTGTAGGAAATCCTCCCGTTGTTTGAAGCGGTATCCATAGTTTCCTTTTTTCCAAGAGGCAGTGGTTAGCAAAGTAAGGATCGATAAGAGAGTATAATTTAATCTTGCCAAAGTCCAACTACTAGATGCACTCGCTAGACGTAATCTTTTTAAAACCTTTCCAGGAGTTTAGATATGTTGACTTAAGCATAAGCTTTAGCATTGAGTCTGCTGGATGGATCGTTCTTACTTGATCGTCTGCATTTGTTTCTGGTAACTCAGTGAAATATTGGCTAAATCGTCAATAGCTTTATTTGGCCGACGTTTCGGTGCTTTCACCTTCTTCAGAGCCTGGAAAAGACGAAAGCCATTTAGGAAACTACCCGTCCAAACACTATTTCAACCTACAAGAATCATTCAACAGGGTGTAAACTACTAAAACGATGTCATTTCCAGGCTCTGAAGAAAGGTAAACACTTTAAACGTCGGCCGAATAAATAAAGCTATTGACAGTATTGGTCGAAAGCTAAGTACTAAAACCTATGACTATTTAAAAATAATCAAGATTCATAACAAAAGTCCGATTGGACACATTGCTTAGATCATTACTGTTTCGGCTCCACACCTATTTGACGCTTGTTAAGCGAAAATAATATTCCAAGAAATGTGCTTCATCTTTGTACTAACAAGTAGCTGTTCGTGTATGAGGGCAAAAGATACTGTTGTCGCTTACTGCACTCGAAGTTGGCTCGGATTGCGGGGCTTATCAGTTGTTATTGCATACTTCCTTCTGTCCAAAGCGCACTGATTCCTTCTTATCTGAGAAAGATCTGTAACAAAACCTAGAAGTTTTCGCTCTGAGCTTTCCGAGTCCCTCAAAAAAATGTCTGTGATTATTAGTGCACCAGCCTTAGGCTGGTGTCAGAGTCCGCGATTTTTTCGCGATTTTCGCGATTTTGCGCGATTGTCGCGATTTTCGCGATTTCGCGATTGTCGCGATTTTCGCGATTTGCGCGATTTGTCGCGATTTTCGCGATTTCGCGATTGTCGCGATTTTCGCGATTTGTCGCGATTTGCGCGATTTTCGCGATTTGCGCGATTTTCGCGATTTTCGCGATTTGCGCGATTTTCGCGATTTTCGCGAAACCTGCGATGGATCACAGGAGTTGGAAGTGCCCGATGAATACTGCGAGGTGTTGTTAATCCTGCTGCGAATTCTGCTTGGCAGTAAAGATTGGAAGACGAATGTTTGTGGTTCTACTTGTTTCATGTTCAATGTCTATTAGTTCATTGAAATGCTCTTGAATCGTTCCTTTTTTTTCAGGAATCAAACCAAACCAATCACAAAAATTGCAAGTGCCCCATTTGAACAATTGAAACACTGGATATGAAACAAGTGGAATCATGAGCAGTCTCCATTAACCCTTTGACGACAACAATGCGGATTTGCACGTAGCGTGCTCGTGGGACCACGCCTCTTTTTGCGCGCCCAACTCTCGCACAAAATGGGGCAAAATTGTCCCTAAAAGCAGTTTTTCTATCAAAATTTTGACTATGACAATAAACAAAATATGACTGCAGTCTTAAGCTTTATGATCATGTATTGTTGGAATTAGAAGTGGAAGTTTGGAAAGAAATCTCGGATTTCAAAGGGATGGTGTTTGAAAACTCTAGAAATTCAAATGTACAGTAGAATTTTTGATATAGTTCAAACTCCTCCTTGTGTCTTCAAGACTGTGAAAAGACGTAGAGGTCCTGATCTGTAATTCACCTTAAGCTTAATAATGTAAAACACTAATTAATACTTCGCCGAGCGAAGTGCCCAACCCTAAAATTTCATATAAATTAGCTAGTAACAAACATTTCTGCAAAATATGCTAAACATAGGCACATCGGAGCTTGCTTATAATTACTGATATGTTAAAAACGTTTTAAATGGGTAAAGAAGAAAGTTTTAGGGTGGCACCCACCATTGGGTGCCATTGTCCCACGCGACGGTCATTGTGATGGATGGGGCACTTGTGATTTCCGTGACCCGCAAATCGCGCAAATCGCGAAAATCGCGCAAATCGCGACAATCGCGACAATCGCGAAAATCGCGACAATCGCGCGAAATCGCGAAAATCGCGACAATCGCGAAAATCGCGAAATCGCGAAAATCGCGACAATCGCGCAAATCGCGAAAATCGCGAAATCGCGAAATCGCGAAAATCGCGCAAATCGAATCGCGGACTCTGACACCAGCCTTAGATCGCTTAATAATCTCAACGAGGAAGGGACAATTCCAAGGAAAGGAATTTCATCTGATTACCTGAGTAAAACCAATTGCTCGTCAGATAACTTACTTTTCTCACAATACTGCCAAGGGGACATTCGCTGTCAGTGGTGTTCATACATACACATACTTTCAGTTACACGATTTCAGAAATATATTCATACTTCATGTTACCTATTGGGTTATACCTATTGATTTGTACTGGATTATGCCGACCCGATACCAGTTCGGTGGCGCACAAGCGGGCTGGAGCCACAGAGTGATCCAGCTATGCTTCAACTTGTGAAGGGTTTTCTTTCGAAAACATGTCGGAGGTAACTGCGAATCTGTGGGTTGCGGTTAAGTGGTAGCTCTGATGTTCGCCTTCGAAAGTTCTTTTTGTTGTGAGGAGTCAGAAAGTTCAAAAACATTCATTAAAGTTTTTCACCTTATAAACATTGTGTAAGGGTCCTGCGTACTAGCGTGTATCGAGCTGTGGTTTTAGCATGGAGATTCGTTCTAAAGAAATCGTGTGAATGGAGTTAATGCATTATGGCATTACCGAATCGATGAATCGACGGATTAAAAAAGCTGTGAATACGTTTCGGCCGGCGTTATTGACTGCTGTGTTTCTCCAACGAGTTGTTAGAGACTCCAACACGACCTCATTATTTGTCACCGAACAGTCATCATTTCATTGTTTCCACATTCGAAACAATATTTTCTATTTTCTCGATAGGTGTTCTGATCTGAGCTTCAAAAACAAATATTCTTTGTTCCATTGGCTGTAATGCTTTATGTGCCTGGCTTTTTTTCAATTATCTGTCCATTGGTTGTTCGACTGCAAAATGCTTCCAGTTGCTCGTTTATCTTTATTTGCGTTTTTTGGTGTATTGCTGTTTCGGTGGTTTCAATTGTTTTTCCTAGATAGCAGGTAATGCACGGGCCATATGTGGTGCTTTCTCCCATTGCCAAGTCTCATCCTTTTGAAGAACGACGGGTGCACGTTGGACCTGATGAGGATCCTTTGAAAATTGGTAGAGCAGTGGCTAGGCTGAAGGCAGCAAAAGATAATGCGATATTCGACTGCAAGGTAGCTTTTATTTCCTGTTGAAGCAATTTTTCTTCAAGTACATTTATCAAGTTTCCAATTCAATTTCCTGCAGGTATTATCACGAAATCATGCGGTGCTCTCGTATCGCAATGGAGGCTTTTTTCTTCGAGACACGAAGAGCAGCAATGGCACATTTGTAAATAATGAAAGATTAGCGGTGACAGGCGAAGAGTCCGAGGCTAGGCAGATTTTCACCGGTGACATCATCCAATTCGGCGTGGAAATCGTTGAGAATACCAACAAAGGCATGTTTATGAAACTTCGGTTGTTCGCAAGTCCTGAGGTCCGTTCGCGGTTTTTTCACGGTCTTCAATTTCTCTGATTTTTAAGATTATTTGGTGGTGTCCAGTGTTTTTGCTCGAGGAAGTCGCTTAACGATGTCTCGGTTTTCCTAGTCCAATTTCGTCCATTTTCGTTTTCAGTCCTATATCGGTTTCAGTAGCACATGGATGTATATATGCGATGGTTCAACTGTTTGATGCTTCTGGACAGATGATCGAAGCAGGAGGAACTCTGAGCAGTGGTGAACTGAATGGGTAAGTTTGGATTGAATACCATTTTATTCTAAAGAATACTTTTATTCTCTTATATTACATTTATTTTTAGCACAATGCCGAATTGTGAACCGTCCCTGGTCAACAATCATCAATTGTTTCAAATGCAGCAGTACTTATCAGAAGCACTTTATAGGTTTGTTTTGTCTCGTGTTGGAGAGCGTCGCCTTCCATTTATTATTAGAGCTTCTTGATCAGCGTCCTTACGAAGGTTTAGATAATACAACTTGTTATTTTCAGGGAAGAAGCTCGTCAACAAAAGCTAGAGGCTTTGGAAAAGATGTTGGAAGCTACTGAGCATGCTTCGG